AACTGAAACAAAAAGACACAAAAACAAACTAAGCAAACAACTAGATAAGGAACAGAATTATAAAACTGGAGATCACCTGCTAGGGTTATTAGTTGGGAGGAGAAGGTAGAGAATGGGGGAAAATGTACAGGCATTAAGAAGCACAATTGGTAGGTAAAAAAATAGGGGAATGTTAAGAATAGTATAGGAAATGGATAAGTCAAAGAAATTATATGAATGACCCTTGGACATGAACTAAGGAAGAGGAATAGCTGGAGGCAATGGTGGTACCAGGAGGAGAGGGGAATAGGAGGAAAAATTGGAACAAGTGTAATAGCATGATCAATAAGACATATTAAAAATAAATGAATGAAAACAAAATGTCAAAAAAATCAACCAATGAATAAAAAAAAAAGAATAATGAAATGTCACCTTCCCGAATAACCCTGCCCTGAAAAGCTAATATATTGCAATTGTCACTTCTAAGATTATTTATATTTTTCATAATAATAGATATATTTTTAACAGATACAACCATTTATTTGTCTGTTACTTATTATTTCTAGTAGAATATAAATTCCAAAAGGTTATACATTTCTTATATTATTCTTCCATTTTGTGGCTCCAATGCCTAGACAAGAGCCTAGGAAACACATTAAACCTGCAGTGAATACTTAATGAATAAAAGAAGGAAGAAAATACAAATTTTCTGGGTAAGTACGAATTTCAGTTGATATCTCCTTAATGAATGTAGCTCCCAATTTGAGATCCACAAAGCCAAAAGAACAGGAATAAGACTCTCAAAGGTGATCATTGTTCGTTATATGAATTCTTCTGCTGCTGATTATTGCACTGTGGAGAATATTTCTATGTCTAATTATAAGTATTTAGTTTCAGCTGGACACTCTATAATCACCCAACTATATATAGCACCCAACTATAATCACCCTACTATAACACCAACTATAGGTGTCAGACCACAGAAATGCTATTTCCTTCATCAACAGTTATCTCTCATAATTAGAGTTGAGATTAATTTTAAAAACAGGTCTGGCTTATTTTAGAGATCTTTCCCTTGAGCATTTTAATTCTGATTTTAGAAAGATTGAAGAGTTTATTTAGTATTTTGCTGATAATATTTTAGGCAATTCTAGTTCCTTTGGATTACCTAGATTCAGAAGCTCAAACCTGTGGGGTTCTGGATATAAGTGATAAATAACATCTTGGATTTGGTTGATTCTGGTTCACCATGATGGGATAAAGTTGTTTATGTAGCTTGGAATAAGTGTCAGAATAGCTGTGGATCATTCCATATTTCCCTAGCTAAATTCTTTGGGTAACTGGCCAAAGGATAATTTATTTTTGATTAGAGGTATTGGATTAATATACCACTACCAGTATTCCTGAAATACGGCACCTAAAATATTTAGATTTCAGGAGTAATTATTCACAATTCATGAGAAATAGTGTCTGTACTAAGTAATTACTTTGCAAAATATCTGCGGACACATCTGTGTTAGCCATGGACACTTACTTGTTATATTAACATTGCTATTAAGAGTTCTTATAAATGTCACCCTCCCTTAAAACAATAAAGGAGAATTTACAGTTTTAGAGTAGGCAAACATTCATTTATCAAAATAAATATTACTGTTTTAAAATTAAAACACCTTCTATTGAAATACATGGAAACATTTAAAAGAGAAGCCTCAGAATAAGAAAAATGTTTGCAGCATATTTACTTGACTAAATATCAACATTTACAATACAGAAATACTTATGACAATTTAATTAAGAACAGACAATAAGTAAAATGGTGAAGAAAATAGAAAAATATATGAAAGAAATCACATTCAGTTTATCCTTGGGCATCCTCCAAATATTATTTTCTGTGCATACCATGATGTGAAAAAGTATGGCAGATCACTGCTCCAGAGAAACTCAACACATGCACAAAAAGAAAGTCACAAAAATCCTCATTGCATGTTGCTTGTAATAACAAAAATGGAAGTAGCCTATATAATAATTATTATTATAAATATACAATTGAATACTGTATAAATTAAAATAATTACATTAGAAAAATGTACCTTTTAGTTATAAATCTCAGAAATATTATTGAAAGATACTTATATAACTCAGATGCAGATTGAATAATATATATTGAGTATGCATATTCACATTGTTACAAGGTAAAAAAATATCATGGGAGTGAAAAGCACCAAGTTAAAGATGAAGGGTCTCAATGAGGAGGGGTAGGGGAATGAGGTGCCAGAATGTTAAAAAAGGGTCTTTAATCCAATTGTAATGTATCACTCTAAAAAAAAACAAACCAGCAAATGTTAACTTTTTTCCAAGTCAATCTCTCGGTGCTTTAAAGTTGAAGGTGTAACTTGAAGCACAATTTCTTTGCCTTTGCTGAGAAAAATACATCCCAGAACTTAGTGGCTCAAAGCAATTGATTACTTCTTGCCATTCTATGGGCTCAGTGCATGATCTTTCTGCAAGTCTGGTTTGGCCTCATCAGGTGGCTACAATCTTTTGGGAGCTCTGTTGGGGTTAAACTTCCAAAATGATGTCACTGTTTAGTTAGTTGACTGGGTGCTGGCTGTTGGCTGGGGTACCTTGGTATTCTCCCGTGGAATCTGTCATGTGCTAGTAGGTTACACTGGCTGCCTAATGGAATAATCTCTGAACAGTGTTAGAAGAGACTGGGAGTCAGAGTTGAAAGGCATCTTGGTGCCTCTACTCCAGATTCAGTTTAACATCATAACAACTTTTCATGATTCAACATGTCAGAGTTCCAGCTTGCTGGATCCATCCCTGTGTTCTCTAATGGAAGCATCACTCATCTGCACTGCTACAGCTCATGGTTCCACTTATGGTGAGCAGAGATTTAGTTGGTGGATCATTAAGGGTAAACAGGTTGAAGAGCCGCTCCCATTTTCACTGTACACCCATACATTCTGGGTTCCATAAATTACTGGGAAAAATAGCAATAAGTATTGATTTCAGATTTAGAACATATAACACATCCTGGAGTTCATTGCCCCATCCCTCTGAAGTATTGCCAACAGAGCTTGTCCCATTGCTGAGGATGAGATGCTGTTCCAATATTTCAGGCACACTGAATTTCTGAACACTAAAGTATTTTCTTCACCATGGTCTTTCAAGGGTCACCCCAGGGCAGGGCTGCAGTGTGACAGCTGTCCACTTACGTGTGGTGTCAGCATATCATGTTGAATCATCGGAAAATAAGGCCCTGATATTTTCTTCCATATTCAAGTTGTCATAAAAACACCAAATCTTGGCTGCAACTTCAAGCTTTGAAGGACAAAGCCATACAGCAAGAGCATGAGTCAAGGGCACCTGAACCACTTAGTCATGCACTTTACTTGTATCGTCAGGAACAGGAGTGTTGTTGACCAATGTGCATGTTTAATGTTAGGGGTTAGTGGAGAGATGACTTCCAGTTCAGGAGGTGGAGGTTATACCATAAAACAGTAGCCTATGGTAATTCATTCAGTCTCTTTCAGGGTCCTTAAAAAGTCAGAAGGAGATTCTTAAAAGGTGAAGACTTCTTTGCAGAGGAAGTTACTGCCTTGTTTTAAAATCCTGGTGGTCTAACCTGTAATTCTCTAGAGGAGATCCTCCAAAGGTTTGAACATCCTCATCTCAGCATAGACTTCAAGCACAATCATATATGTGGGGTAACTTGTCCCAAATAACACAGCAGCTGGCATTGCAGACTGGACTTGGAATTTTCTCTTGTTTTGGGACCCACAAAAAATGAACAGTATTTTGAGTCACCTTGAAAATGGTTTGGACTACTTTGCCTAAAATTGGTATGTGCTGCCTACGAAATCAAAAGAGGGCCACTGAATTTTGGTGTAGAGAAGGCAGAATTTGATAAATAAGGCTTTTTCTTAGTTTTGTTGATTCCAGGGGTCACTTTGGTTGTGTGCAAACAAAAGTGGGTAGTCCATTTCATGCTGCAATTTTTCCATGTAATTTCAAAGAAATTTGAGTCATTAAAAAATGGCACAATAGACCTTCACTTGTCTTAATTATCCATTTGCATGCTTGTGAGAAATGAATTGCTAGTAATTCTCCAGGGTTTGAGTCCCCAGGGCTACAGAGTTTGATGCATGAGCCCTGTTTTCTCCATCACCCTCAGCTTACAAGAAACAGGGGTGGTGACCTGTTTCTCTGTAGCAGGTAAGTTCATTTAGGTTTTTATGAAACAGTGAACATGTTTTCTAAATGTGATAACTAGGGTTTTCTTTTATTTTTCTTTTGATATTAGTAAATGTTATCCAATTCTGAGTCCAATTATATTAAAGAAAAAAGCTAACCCTCACAGAGGTACTTGAGATCAAGTCCATTGACAACCATTTCACAAAGAACAGAATAAACTTTCCACCTGGAAATGGATTATTTATTCACTCCCCTTTATATGCACCCTATATTGGTTTACAAACCTTCACAAACAAGTAGATTACTTAGTTTTGAGAAAACCAAACATGACAAATCTTGAGACCCTTGAGAATCTCAAGATTTCTCTAATATTTTATTTTATCCTTAGAATAGAAACATAGTCTCTTGAAGATTTTAATTGATTTGTATGTATAGGCTAAATACAGTAGTAATGTAGGCTCTTCTTTGAGGCAAACAATATACATGTCTTCACAGACTCACTATGCAAGTATGTACAAACATATCCATTACGTGCATGTTATTCTACTGGCTAGTGTGAATTACACACTATAATATGATAAGTATTTCTTTGCAAACACAAACTGCAATGGAGGTGCAAGGATGTTTCCTCAGCATGGTTTGTTACATCCATAGTAGTTATCTGAATGAGACATGTCCTGTATGGAAGAAACTAGGACCCAAACTCTTCTCCTTTTCTTTGTTCTACCACAGAAATTCATGACACATTTGTCACTTATTGCCATATATTTCTTTGACAGAAACAATTCTTTTCCCCCACCCCTCCCTTCAAATATATTAGGGTGATGGCAGCAAGAAATATGAGTATGGAGACAGTCTTTGTCTTCTTGGGTTTCACAGATCACCCGGAGCTTCAGATCCCTCTCTTCCTCGTGTTTCTGCTCATGTACATTGTCACTGTGGTAGGCAATCTCAGAATGATAGTAATCATCAAGATTAACCCCAGATTTCACACCCCCATGTACTTTTTCCTTAGTCACCTTTCTTTTGTTGATTTTTGTTATTCTTCCATCGTTACACCAAAACTTCTGGAGAACTTGGTCATGGGGAACAAGAGATAAAAGGAGAACAAGATCTGGAGAACAAGATCTGATAAAGAGATCTTCTATGCTAGCTGCATGTTGCAGTACTTCCTGTCCTGCACTGCAGTGGTGACTGAGTCCTTCTTGCTGGCAGTGATGGCGTATGACTGCTTTGTCGCCATCTGCAATCCTCTGCTCTACACAGTGGCCATGTCACTGAGGCTCTGTGCCCTGCTGGTGGCTGGATCATATCTCTGGGGTATGTTTGGCCCCTTGGTACTCCTTTGCTATGCTCTCCAACTAAACTTTTCTGGATATAATGCAATTAACCACTTCTTCTGTGAATATACTGCTCTCATCGCTGTCTTTAGCTCTGATATATATATACCCCAGCTGCTGCTCTTTGGTTTCATCACCTTCAATGAGGTAAGTACACTACTGATCATCCTTGCTTCATATGCTTTTATTTTTGTGACTGCACTAAACATTCGTTCTGCCAGTGGGCGTCATAAAGCCTTCTCCACCTGTGCCTCCCACCTGACAGCCATCACCATCTTCCATGGGACCATTCTATCCCTCTACTGTGTGCCCAACTCCAAAAACTCTCGGCAAACTGTCAAAGTGGCCTCTGTCTTTTACACAGTGGCCAACCCCATGCTGACCCCTCTGATCTACAGCCTGAGGAATAAAAATGTGAAGGATACCTTCTGGAAATTCATAGATGCAAAAGTCCCATCTCATGGAACCAACATCAAAGGATATTTTCAATCTCAAAGAGGAGCAGGAGCAGAACCTGAAACAATTCTAAAATGTATAGAAAATATTTGCCAGAGGTTTTTATGGATGGCTGTGATGTTAGCATATTGTGACTTGGTTAGCTCAAATCCCTTGATGATGGCAAAGAAGTAAATTCTGGGATAAATTCCAAAAGATTTCGGCCTATAAAGCATTTATTTCTATAAATTTTTGTTAAAAAAACACACAAAAATACTACAAAGCACAACAGGTGGTTCATACGAAGAACAAAGTTACTGAGAGGATGATCTTCACTCACCTTAGAAAAGGCCTTTTTGCCACCAGTGGAAAACTTTTTGAACAAAAAATAAAGGAGATCTTCCCCAATGTGGCAATGTAAATAGACTTCCAGGAAGTCTAGGAAGCTCAGAGAGTCCCAAAGAAGTTGGACCCAAGAAGAAACACACCAAGGCACATCATAATTACATTAGCCAAGATTAAAATGAAAAAGAGAATCTTAGAAGCAGCAAGAGATAAAAGACAGTCACCTGCCAAAGAGTTCCCATCAGACTGTCAGCTGATTTCTCAAAAGAGACTCAAAAGAGGCAAGAAGGGGCTGGAAAGAGGTATTCCAAGTCATGAAATCCAAAGACCTACAACCAAGATTGCTCTATCCAGCAAAGCTTTCATTTAGAATGGAAGGGCAGATAAAGTGCTTCTCAGATAATATCAAATTCAAGGAGTTCATCATCACGAAGCCCTTATTCTATGAAATGTTAAAGGGACTGATCTAAGAAAAAGAAGATAAAAAAGATGAACAGTGAAAGGACAGCAAATTCACAGTTATTAAGAACCACACCTAAAACAAAAGCAAACTAAGAGGACTGCTAGATCAGGAGTGGAAACATAGAAATGAAGATCTCAAGGAGGGTTAGCAACAGGGGAGTGGGAGGAGGAGAAGGGGGGAGAAGGTACAGAAAATACGTAGCATAGATGGTAGGTAGAAAATAGATAGGGGGGAGGGCAAGAATAGTAGGGGAAATATAGAATCTAAAGAACTTGAGACACATGGTCATAAACTAAAGGGGGGAATTGTGGGGGTGGGGGGTGCAGGGTGGAGGGGAATGAAGGGGGCAATAGAACAACTGTAATAGCATAATCAATAAAATTTAAAGAAAAAAGAAAGAAAGAAAGAAAGAAAGAAAGAAAGGAAGGAAGGAAGGAAGGAAGGAAGAAAGAAAGAAAGAAAGAAAGAAAGAAAGAAAGAAAGAAAGAAAGAAAGAAAGAAAGAAAGAAAGAAAGAAAGAAAGAAAAGGCCTTTCTGCTTTGTTACTGCATGTGGCCATGGGTGGCTTGCCTTTAAATGTATTTGTGTCATGTGTCAATGAAGCATTGTGTCTTTGTTTGGAGATACAGGGGTATATGCTGTGTGACAATAGCAGTCATAAGTCTTTGCTGACAATTTCCATCCTGGGGTGGGGGTATGTGAATTCCATGAATGGACAGTCAGCTTATATTGAGAAATAATTGACTTAAGACATGAACTTACTGTTGACTCCAAATCTAGTGCCCCTTTCACCAGAATACCTTTGAGGCTATTAGTCTGAGAGGTGATAAAAATTAATTTTGTCCCTTGGAAAAGACAATCACTGGAGTCACTTCAATATCCTTGAATTATGCATGGATATTCTGTCTCAAAAGGCTGCATTCCAAGTCTCCTTATCTTTAAATCTTTCCATTTTAACTACATGTTTCAATATAGGCCTCTTTGTGTCCAACTCCTTGGGACTCTTTGAACTTCCTGGACTTGTGTATCTTTTTCCTTCACCAGATTAGGGTAGTTCTGGGTCATTATTTCTTCAAATAGGTCCTCAATCCCTTGCTGACTCTCCTCTCCTTTTGCTGTTCCCATGATGCAGACTTTGTTGTGCATCCTGTTGTCCTAAATGTTTGTTGGATTCTCTTTATATCTTTTTAAAATTTGCTTGTATGTTCCTGCTCTGCATGGGTGTTTTTTTTTCCCTACCTTCTCTTCTAAATCACTGATTCAATACTCTGCTTCATCTAACCTACTGTTTATTTCTTCCAGGGTATTATTTATTTCAGGTATTACATTCTTTATATCTGACTGATCCTTTTTCATTGTTTTATGTCATTTTTCATGCTGTTAAGTGTCCTTCTAATCCTTACTCTAAGCTCTCTATCTGATAAATTTCTTGTTTCCATTTCATCTACTTTTTCTTGTGGAGACTTCTTTCGTTCTTTCATTTGGAGCCTGTTTCTTTGTCTTTCCAAAGACAAAGACCCTTTTGCAGCCCCTTTTGTGTTTCTATGCATTAAGTAGATCTGCAAAACTCTGGTGCAGACCTTTTCCGATGTCTATTGTAACTGTTCCTGCGCAACCTTTTTGGAGCTATCAGTGATCTATAGCATGTGGATCCCTTGGCTTAGTCTGTCTGTGTGCAGTAAGAACCAGGCTGTGGACCAAGGTCAGCTTGTCATAGCACTGGACCCAGGGAGGGTCAGCTAAAGTGTCAGAAGTCCCAGAGATCTGCCCTAGTTGTTAAACTTAATCAGTAATATAGCCTTAAGCTATACTCAGAAGGATGGCTTAAGCCCCACAGCAAGGGCAGAGCAATTTCTGCAGAAAGGACTATTGCTTCCCTTCAGGCTGATGCCATTTGAAGGGGAGTGCAATCTCACCTGAGAAAGATGACATCTGCAGCATGGGGAATGACTCAGCACAGGGACCCTGGTGGCTGTTCTTCCAGTTCTCTCCCCGGAGCCACCAGCCCTCTACTATCCTTACATGTCTTTAATCCACTCTGCCCTCCCTCTATTATAGCCTACAGTATGTTGCTGCAAATGGAATTTTGTGCATTGGCTATTTAAGAAGCTCTCTGTGTCTCCAACTGTATCATTCTGACAGAAACCCTGCTGCTTTTCACAGCTGGGTGTTATCTGTATTTCTTTCCTGGCTTTGGTACTGTAGTCTGAGATGCCCAGCTCAAGGTTTAGCCACCACACTTCTCAGAAGGAACCCCCCACTGCTGAAATATAGCACCACAACTTCAGCTGCCACCCCTGGGAGCTCAGCCAGCTCTCTCGCACCTCTCTGCACTCACTACCAGTCATGTTGTGCTGAATTGCTTTATTCTGACTGTGGTTGTAAGTCTTTTCTCCAGCTAGTGTTCAGTTTGTTATTCAGGATGGTTTCTCTATAATTTAGCTGTAATTGCAGACTGGCTCTGGGGGGAGGTTCCTATAGCTTGCATCATATTGGGTTCTCTGTTACATTGGGTCTAGTATATGGTTTTTTAAAGTATAAAACTTGATTTATTTGAAATTATTTTGACCATATATACCTTGTAAAGTTTATATGTAAACTGAGTGATACACATAGACTAGTGGAAACTGTGGCCTACATTGACATTAGATAGTCAGGAGAAGAGCACTCCTAGAACATATCATTGAAGAGGCCCCATTTGATAGCTTCTGGCCTGGTCAGGCATGAGGAAAATGCAGCCTCAGCACTCACTGGCTATCTCTTTTCTTCCTCATACAGTCAGAAGTGTGGGAAAAAGCCCAGAGCAGCATGGGGCCTTTTTCTGTCATGTAGTTTGACTTTATCCAAGTTCAAATTCAGTGTGTGTGCCTCCTCCACTCCCTTTGTAAGACAGACATTAAAAAAAAAGATTGTACTTTTAATTAGTTATCATAATGATTCAATGAGTTATTATGGCCTATTATTTTAATAAGTTTTAACATATAACAAGTGCCCAAGAAATGTTAACTATTATTAGTTTTCTGACCAGAAATTTATCTCCTTCCTAATTTTTGAAGGAAATCTGTTGTGACTTTAGTCACTGTACTTGCTGGAATTTAGAACATTTTGTAATATTATAAGAAAAGGGGAATGAATAAAAAATATTCGTGTCATTTTATTATGGCAGCGTGATCTGTGATTTCCATACATGGCACCAGGATGTAATGTCATATGGTACCATGAAATGTGGATGAAGACATATTTGCTTTCAACAATTATTTCACAAATTAAGGCATTGAAATGTTTCTGATGTAATTCCATAGAGATTAATTATATATCCTACTCCACATATAGTATTGGTTTAATTTTAATTTGTTTTTGAAGATTTGAAGATTAAAAATGATTAGGAACTTAAGGGACCCTTTCCCTATGGTTTTACAATGATAGTTTACGTCTCTAACTGTGTACCATACTCACCTTAACATCTTTAGCACAACAGATAAAGTGTCTGTCACTCAGGTTTGTTAGCTAAAACTAGGCTCTGGTTACTTAAAAATTAAAGTGGGTATATTTCACAGAATGTAAAGATATAGGTAACTCAGCTGCCTTCCAATTAGAGAATCATTTAACAGACCATATTCTTGTGCACTTACTGTTTCAAGTGTTTTTTTCTTTTTGTACTTAAATTAAACAATTTCTTGTGGAACACCCAGTGTTGATGTGTATGAAAGAATGCAGACACCTGTACTTGAACAACAATAAAAAAAGAAAATTAAAAAAATGTATCAATACTACCTTTAAAAAAGAATGCAGAGTAAATAAATGGTAGTCTTGCTCTCTCTCTCTCTCTCCTTCCTCAGTCCTCCCATTTACTTCCTACATTTCCCCACATCACCTTTTGTCATGGAATCTAGTTTTTATACCCATAAAGGAGCTCCCTAAATGTAACCCTAATCCTGATGGCTGAGTCCATGGGCCCCTGAGTGAGTCATGGGGAATCAGGACTTGTAGGCTATCTCTGCTCTGTCAACGAAGTGAATCCTTTTAGATTTGTTTTGGGTTTACCACAAACTAGTTTCTTATTATCAGCCTAGAACATTAGGAAGGAATGTTTCCAACATGATTTTTCTGTTTTAACTTTGAGGTAGGCAAATAATTTGTATTCTTTGGGTGGTGAAGTAATTAGAAAACCATGACATTAGCTTGGAGGTTTGTTTTCACTTTAAAATTAGTTCATGTTATAGACTAAAATACTAACTTCTGTTTTCAGTCCAGAATCTCCACTCATTTTTCATTTCATAATATGTGAATAGCACCATGGGTGCATCCCTCTAGGAAGGAGGGCAGAGAATAAACATTTGTCATCTTCCATTTGACTGTTATTTAAGTACAGGTCCGAATGTTATTG